GACTTAGGGTCAGAGTAAAATTGCCCCTTCGTATCGTGGCGTTTATGGCATTGTCCGGCGTTCGAGATCTCAGCGAACACGTTCCGAGTTTCTGTTAAAATTTGGTTTGCTTTGTCGTTACTAGGTCACGTTTGGTAAGCTCAGCTTGGTAGCCATGTTCTGCCGATTCGACCGGGAAGGTCAGTTCCAGAAAGAATTTTAGAAGTAGAAGATGCGATCGCTGAAACAAGACGTTTATTTGCCGACGTTTCGCATTCTGTCGAGAACCCTTCCCTAGGGGTAAACGTAGAATAGGATGATAGATGCAGATATAAGGGTAATATATGCACAGAATACGCAGTATTAATAAACTGAAGTGGCCGCGCGACATCGTGTGAACTATAACTAAACAACCACAGCGTAGAAAATTATAAAACGATACAAATAATTATTTAACACACCACACGTTTCCGAGTGAAAACTAGACTGTAAAACACACCGAAGAGGAAACAATGGGTTCTTACTGTCATAGCGATTAGGGAAGAAGCAAAGCAGCTAACTGATTGACAAGAGTGAATAAATTGAAGAGTATGCCAACTGCGGTATGCAAATAATCTCAGCCATGCAGTTTTAAGAGTTAAGGGCTATTAACCTCGCACAATTGTCCATAAAAGGAGAGCACATCTATCGTCAGAGAATTCGCATAACCTCGACCGCTGGTGGTAGGTGTCCGCAACGACTTGTTTACAATCCGTGAGAAAATAGTCAACAAATTTCAGGAAGATGACACCACTGATGACCTCGATTTTCCGCCTTGACATCTTGAGGTATCGTACAACGTGAAGGTGCCTCACACGAACTTTGACGTGGTTCCTTTGAAATCTGCAGCCTGCCTTGGCATTGGACGTCCAGCATCTTCTTGCAGCTTTTATTCACTTTATCAACACAATAAGGCTGTTTTACAAAGACCGATGACAAGTCCCTTTTTGGCCGTATACGGCGATCGGAATTCAACCGTAGGAGCCTTGTTGTCTTCCCCAATTACATGATGAGCATCAGCTGGCAATCAACTGCAAGGATAAGCTGTTTATGTTATTTGAGCATTTACAGCACAAAAACCACATCTTCGCCTTCGAAAAAGGCGCGTTCACAGTGGCCACAACAGAAGCCAACATTTCAGTGATATTGTTCATACATTGCTCCCGAGGAGCATAGTGAAGGTCGCGAAATTAATGCCAGTGCCCCTCACCTGCCCAGGAATACACCTCAGTCCGCCTCCAGGGGTTCGCAAAGCTTAACCAGCAGGAGAAGA